GAGGGACCGCGGCGCCCTTGAACAGCACCCTCCAGGCATCTTCATGAGTTGTGTCGAAGAGCCTGTTCAGAGTTCGGTGCTGTGCCGGGTTGAACTCCCACAAGGTAAACTCCCGTTGTTGGCACGGGAGTATCCGGCGGACGAGCATAACCTGGACTATGTAGACACGCTTGAGCTTCTTGTCCACCATGTTCTGAATACATGACTGGAGTCCAGTCAGCTCTTTTGAATTACCCCAGGACAGGCCCTTCTCTTTCCAGGAGGTGAGCCGCATGGGGATTCCAGATCGGAACTCGGGGGCCGCTACCCATGCAGGGTCGCGCGGCTCGGTGATATAGAACCACCCCGATTGCCACCCCTTTATGGTATCCACGAAGGAGCCCTCGAGCCATGTGATGTTGGGCATCTTGCCCACCATGGCGCCTCCGCACTCCTCCTGGCGGCCGCTCACTATCTTCGGCTTGACGTTGAAGGTTTTCAGCCATAGGCCGAAGTGGGGCTTGATGCGGAGGAAGGCCTCGCACACGACGATAAACGCCGAGATGTTGAGGATAAAGTTCGGGGCCAGATCGTGGAAATCCAGGCCGTAATAAAACATGAGCCCCCGGACGAAGGGATGGAGAGGGAATCCCAGTCCGCGGAGGAAATGGGTGAGGAATACCACCCTCTCATGGGGCTTGGGGGTGGGGATGAGTTGTCCCGCATCTGGGAGCCGATGCGTGATGTCGTCGGGCAGGTATCCGGCTCTCCTCAGTTTCTTGACGTCTCCCTCCATGACAGAGGAGACCATCCACTTGCCTCCCACTCCGGACATGGTTGGAGAAGGTTGAGGTGGAAGTGAGGGCTTGGGCGCTAGAGCTAGAGTGTGCGGAAGCGGATGAGCAGAGGAGGAAGAAGGCGTGGATAGAAAGGTGAGTCCTTATCCCTTTATATGGGCGGACAAGCGTCCCCACTTGCCTGGTAAAACTCTCTTATCCCCCAAGCGCCATAATTGATGGCGCGGTTGGGTTACCCACGCCCGTATTGATGAGAATCCCGTAATAAGGGGACACGATCTCTGCTTTGACAAGACGTGTCGAAAAACTACCTCGCGTTATGTGCGGGGCTGGTTAAAAGAAACGGTTCGAGTAATCACCAGGCCATGACGTAACGTCATGTTGCCAAAACAAGCTAGCGGATTAGATCTGCGAAAACATTACTCTCTCTACGGTGAAATGTGGAACTTATTTTGCAGGGTCGGACACTATCCCCGTATTCAAATTCTTCTGTGATGCATTCGGAGAAGGAACCCGCCTTGCAATGCCGAAGACAACTGTGCGTCGGACTCATCGTCATTGAAGCCTGGTTCAGGGGCTACTGTGGGAGTCCTGGATTAGGGAGTCTCCGAATAGCCGGACTATCTCCATTGGCCAGACTGTTAGACTATGAAGATACAAGATTGAAGACTTCGTCTCCTGTCCGAATGGGACTCTACTTGGCGTGGAAGGCAAGCTAGGCAATACGTATATGGATATCTCCTCCTTTGTAACCGACCTTGTGTAACCCTAACCCTCTCCGGTGTCTATATAAACCGAAGGGTTTTAGTCCGTAGGACAACAATCACAACATACAATCATACCGTAGGCTAGCTTCTAGTGTTTAGCCTATCTGATCTCGTGGTAGATCTACTCTTGTAACACCCATATCATCAATATTAATCAAGCAGGACGTAGGATTTTACCTCCATCAAGAGGGCCCGAACCTGGGTAAAACTTCGTGTCCCTTGTCTCCTGTTACATCCGGCCTAGACGCACAGTTCGGGACCCCCTACCCGAGATCCGCCGGTTTTGACACCGACAATGATGTTATTTTTGCTCGGTGATTTGGTGGTCCATGAAAGGGCCATGAGAGTGGGGGACCAATCCAGGGTTTTTGTGTGACCCGTTTTCAGCCCGACCCATTTTCTCCTTAAACACATACATGCAATTGTCGTAGGTTTTTGGACATATAATTGTAAACAGTTGATTGAAATCTTATTAGAAATTAGTCGAATGCAAAATTGACAATCCCAAAAACTTTTTATGAGCCAGTAAGAGACCTTGCATAATCATGGCCCACACCTTAGAAGTTGAATGAAAGATCGAGATCGAGGCCTTTCGTGCACATATCTTTCCCTAGTTTATGGGTAGCGGCTAGGCGACATGCATCTTGTAGGAGTGATGATTAGGGCGACATGCATCTTGTAGGAGTGATGATTAGGGAGACAATATAGTGGGCAGCTTGGGTATGTGACAACCATTAACCATCGTCGGTGCTTAGGGCGTCTCTAGCGCCGACCCTCAAACCGCATGCATACGTCTGGACAGTGAAAGCCATCCAACGTGGGCCTGTATTGGTCCATAGGGTGGTCTAGACGTACTTTCTGCTGCAAATCAGAGACAAATGTTAGGGGAGGGAGGGGGCTTTGCGGGTGTCCAGACAGCACCCACGCCCGCTTCTGATCACTCCGGCCCACCCAAAACCCTCCTTCCTTGTCCACGTGTGTTCCCGCCCAGCGCCAGTTGCCCACATTCATGCCGCTGTAGAGCGTGTTGCTGCACATTGAAGACGGCTGAGGGCGGACGCAACCTCTCACTGGATGCGTCATTGAAGCGGCGCGCCGGCCGATGGCGCTGCCCGCTGCATGCCCGGCTAAACTCGGCTCCTCGCTGCATTCAAACGCCTCCATTAAACCTGTGTGGAAGCCGAGAAACCTACTCTAGCCAGACGTCCGTTCACGACCGGGCTGACATTAAACAGAACTCTGTGCATGCTCCCCCTGTCCGCCCGCTATTTAAAGGAGGCCAGACGCCGGCAATAATCGCACCACTCTGTCGCTCCCCATCTCCTCCTTCCATAATTTTCTCCACCCTTTTTATGGCATCCAACGAGGAGGAAGAGCAGTTCTCCGGCATAAAAGCCAACCAGGTGGCTCGCCGAGCCCACTGGATTCGACTGAGGCAGCTCGCTACTCCACCTCCCTCGCCAAGCCCGATAGAGAAAGCTGTTGCCCCAGGCCGGCGCGTGGTTCAGCAACTCATCACTCCAAGCCCAGCTCACGGAGGAGTGGCGTGTTGCTCTAGGCCGGCACGGTGGAACAAGAATCGTCGCTACCGTGGACGATGACGTGCCGTACGACACCTCCCGTGCCTGCGACCGCGCCATCCGCCATCAACGCGTGCATAACTGCGCCCTGTCGGCATAGAAGATGTCGGCTATGCGGACAGCGACGAGTTGGCGCCCAAGATGTATGCGGTCGTTGCCATCATCGAGGAGAAGTAGAAAATGAGAGGCCGCCGCCACTTGGGCCCCATGAAGACCACTGCCAAGGCGACGTCGGCGTACACAGCCGGTGTCTTGTCCTCTCGCAGGCGACCGTCGCCCCCTTACCCAAAAACCAACTTTGATCCATGCAGCGTAGGGACACCCTTCCCTTCTAGCCGAAGCATCGACGGGTGGTTCCACTCCGATGAGCGGTGGGGAAGCGAGCCACCCTTTGCGTTGAAACATATACCTCTGGGGGTCATGGTTGTCGGACATGGGGACTAAAATGGAGATCTGCGGCGGTCGGCAGTAGACTAGTCAAGGGTTTCTATGTCGACGGAATGGATATCCACCGACGCCAGCCGTAGACTAGTTTTATCTTAGTCCGTTATCATTTTTAGTTAAAAATATGTCTAAAATATAAATGTTTTTGTCCGGTTTGTATGAAATGCATCATGTTTATATGAAATCCAACCGTGTTTGCATGAATTTCATCTGATTTGTTGAGGAAGTGTTTGAAATGTATGCGGGCACGGCAGCCTCCCGCATTCATGTCCGCAGACCGATCCCACCCTATCTTCAGACGGATGCGGGAGGAAATTTACGGGTCGGAGTTGAAGATGCCCTTAGTTGATGGTCCAAGACGATGTTTTCCTTGGAAATAGTATAACATCATATTTTCCAAACATATTTGTATGTAAACTTGTATTTATATATAAAAGATTGGCCCATAAAAAAACTAAGCACGGTAAGATACTAGTAAAATAATATAAGATCTTGGAGATCCGATCTCTGGATCTAAAAGATCTTATATTAGTTTATAAAGGAAGTAACTCACAAATCTTAATTGAATATAAAAATGTCATTAAATATGTGATCAATCATACACGTGCATGCAATTATCATGCATGCCCTATTTACATACAAGCATATTTATATACTACCTCCGTTTCAGTTTACAAGTCCTGCGCGTATACCTAGATTGCCAATTTTATCACCCTAATATAAGCTATATAACACAACAATTATACCGTTTAAAATAGAACATCTGAATTTTATGTTGTTATATTTTTTTTAAATATATGACTTGTATTACGTTGATCAAATTGACGATCTAGGAGTACGCGCACGTCCTATAAACTGAGAGAGAGGGAGTATTGTAATCAACTGCATATGTATTTACTTCGCAAAGAGTCAGATATAATTGTGGAGTATATGATGGAATAGACCCGGCCAAAAATTATATCTGACTGGGGATTGTAATCAGGTGCATATATATTTACTATTTACTATATGCACTACAATGTATATATGTGCATATGAAACTAATAGCATACTATGTTGTGACTCGTTTTGTACTTCGAAAATACTCCTAGCTAGCAGGTATATGGCCAAAAATTATACTATCTGACTGGGGATTGTAATCAGCTGCATACTATATGCTCTCTACAATATACATATGAAGCTAATATCATACTATATATGTTCTGACTTTTTTTTACTTCGAAAATATTCCTAGCTGTGTATATGGCTAGCAAGTTCGCATAAGTACGTGTTCATGGTGCAATACAGCTAGCCACATATATCCATGCAATGGTGATGTGCATGCAATGCAACTACTCAGTGCTCACTGAATGCGACTACCACTAACTAGCTGCAACAACTACTGGCTAGCAATGCATGCGTGCATGCGCATATGTGGTCTTCATATCATTTGTTCAGGGATTCCAGTTCACGCCGGATATTTGGACGGGGTGCTGGAAGGCAGAGGTGGCGGCGGCAGTGGCTTCTGGCGCGAGCGGGGTGCCGAGGATGACATGCTGTTGATGGTAGGTCCCGTCTTGCACGGGTAGATGATTCATAAATGGAGGCATGGCGTTTATCGCATTGCCCCCGCCGTTGTCCACCGCCATGTCGGCCGTCGACGACAGCGACATGTTGCCGACATTTCTGCTCCTGTTAAACCCAGGAAAATTCCTTGCCTGCGGGAGGATGCCAACGGTTGACGCATCGAGCCAGTTGAACGGGGTTGAAGACGACGGGGCGAGAAACTGTTTGGTCGGAGCCGGGCTCGCCCTCGCCGCCGCGGCCAGGTGGCTCAGCGAGGTGGCGCCCGCCGAGAGGCCGGCGTCCTCTGCTGTGAGCAGGCCGTCCAGGAAGTTGTCCTCGTGGCTGTCCAGGTGATGGAGCAGTGAATCGTAGTTGCTGCCATGCGCCCCTGCACCGGTCATGCCCGCCGTGGCATAGGGCGGGTATGCGGTGACGGCGTCCTCCACGGAGTCCTCGCACTCCATGCTCCTCTGCTGATCCCCGGCGGCGGCCTTGTTGATCTTCTTGTATATGCGGCACAGCACCCAGTCGTCCAACTGATGAGAAGACGACGTACACTAATTAACTTCATCAACCACAATACCCTAAGCTCGAGAGTAAAGTAATTAAACACGATAGGTTACTGCTAGACCGCGCGATCGATCGATACGTACCCTGAGAGAGGCAGCCCTGCTCCCGCCGGTGACAGGCGGCGGTCGGCTGGTGGTGGCGGAGCTAGACGCGTCGGTGAGGCGGTACTCGTGCATGATCCAGTTGGTTTTGAGGCCCTTGGGCGGCTTCCCGCGGTAGAAGACGAGCGCCTTCTTGACGCCGACCTTCTCCCGGCCGCACCCGGAGGCCAGGATAGGTTTGTCCGTGCCGGTGGCCTTCCAGTACCCCGACGTGGCCGCCCTGTTGGGCCGCGCGCCGTTGGGGTACTTGCGGTCGCGCGGGCTGAAGAAGTACCACTCCTGCTCCCCGAAGGTCGCCTTCTCTGATCGATCCCGAGCGAGCGCATGAACAAGCACGACAGGATCACACACATAAACCATCTACATACATGTGTACTGAAAGAACATAAAAATACTTCTTGCACAGTAGTATAAGCATGATGGATGGATTCGATTATTTAATTGCACCGGAAATTTACGGCGCTTGATAAGCACGACGAGGTGAGAAGATGCACATACCGGGCAGCTCCCATGGGTCGAACTTGTAGAGATCCACCTCGGCGATGATGGTGACGGGGAGCGGCACCTTGGCGGCCTTCTTCTTGAGGTAGTGCACGACCAGCTCCTCGTCCGTCGGGTGGAACCGGAAGCCCGGCGGGAGGTCCGGCGCCGAGCCCTGCTGCGGAGGCGGCGGTGGCTGATGCCGCGGCGGTGCCGAGCCGGAAGATGAGTCCGAGCTGCCCATGGATCTCATCAGACCGTCCCCTAGCTAGCTACCAACAAACACACCGGATGATCCCACCAGAGTATATATATGCGCGCAGCAGCACAGCACCTATGTGGACTGTGGTGCCTAGCTCAACTGCCAGAGCTTCTAGCTGGTGGGTGTGGAGGAACGGACTGGGATTTGTTACGGCGACGGTTGGGAGGAGAGAAGAGGAGAGGCGAGCAGGCAGGCGAGTGATCTGCGGTGGAAATTCTGGTGGTTTGGGGGCGGCTGTCCGACCGTGAAACCGTGGCGAGGAGAGCAGGGGAGATGCAGGCCATCGGCGGGGGCAGTGTGGGAGGTGCGGAAGGCATTGGCCCGAGAAATACGGCTCCGTTGTACCGAACCCGGGGCCCAGGGCCCGTCGCCGCTGGACACGTATGCCGGCCGCCGCCCGTACCGCGTGTCAGATCGCCACCGGACGGGGCGCGCGCGACCACGGCCACCCGTTCCGGTACTCTTACTTTTTTTCGTGAGAAAAAAGAGAGTATTCCGCTACTTCTACGCGGGCGCGCAGACTGGACCGGACTTGTGTGACATAGCTCAAGGCACGACCAGCTCCTCATCGGTCCGGTTCGTTTCCGAATTCAACTAGTCGAGAAGTATTCGTTGCAAAGATCACTCTCATCTTTCTAGGTAGCGACATATGACACGCTGCATGTGTGTTATTTGTCGTAATCGGAGAGTTTTTCTTTTTTTAGATTCGTTTATTTAAAACGTTTTATCTCTTAAACCGTGTGTCCAAATCTCGAACACCGTTGGATTCCTCGCGTCGAGATCTTCAAAACTACATCCGATGTTGATAGATGTTGATGAACTTTTTTTCCATGAAAAACCGGACAAAATACTGAAACAGGAGCACGGGTTTTTCCTTTTTCGAAAGAGGCACGTCCGTGGCTCTCGTAAAATCACAACCCGTGCATGTCGCGGAAGCAAAACCATGCCTCTCGCGGAAGAAAAAAAAGAGAAAACATATTTTTTCCGAGGAGGCACGGTCCTGCCACTCGCAAAAGCACAACCATGTCTCTCGCGGAAGCAAAACCGTGCCTCTCGCAAAAAAAAGAAAACACGTTTTTTTCATTTCCGAGAGGCACGGCCGTGCCTCTCGTGAAAGCACAACCGTGTCTCTCACGGAAGCAAAACCGTGCCTCTCTCGGAAGGAAAAAAAACAGAAAACATGTTTTTCCGTTTCCGAGAGGCTCGGCCGTGCCTCTCACGAAAGCAAAACCGTGCCGCGTTTTTTTTTGTTTCCAAAAGGCACGTCTGCGACTCTCACGAAAGCAAAACCTTGACTCTCGCGAAAGCAAAAAAATGCACTTTTGAGGCAAATAAATATTTTTTTTATCCAAAAGTTAAGGAAGATCGGTGGAAAACCAAACGTCAAAAACACAAAAAAAATAGTTTAAAAGTCGAAAACGTGTGCGGAAAAAAAATCCGGAGGGAACGCCCAGAGCTAGACACATGGCGAGCGGCTGAGAACGCGTCAAATGGGGCTGATCGTTGCGAGGCTTCCGAAGGAGCGCTCCTTAACTAGTTACTCTCGGTCGCTCCTATACTGGCGCGAGGGTGTCGTATGGGCCAGCCCATTTTCCTGTCTTTTTTCTTATTTTTCTTTTTCCATTTTTCTCTTCTTTTCTTTTTTACTTTTTATATTCTATTTTATATTCTCTTTTCTCTTTTCTTCTTTAATTTTTCAACTTTTTTGCGAATTTTCTTTTCAAATCCGCGAACATTTTTTGTTCATCGAATTCAAAAAAATCATCATACATAATTTTTGTTCATCAGATTATAAAGATGCTCATCAAATTTAAAAAATATGCATCAAATAAGAAAAAAAAATTGATTTTCAAAAAATGTTCATAAAATTCAAAATTTGTTCATCGAATTCAAAACTTGTTCTCCATTTTTCAAAAAAGTATCCTAGTTCAAATTTTGTTAATCAAGATCAAAATGTTCAACGGATTCAAAATTGTCCATCGAATACAAAATAATGTTCATCTTTACTGAAAAATGCTCATAAAAAGTTGTTCAACAAAGTTCAAAAAAGTTCACACTTTTAAACATTTTTTGAATTTCCGAACGTTATTTCTTGCTAACTCTAAACATGTTTACATATCTCTGACCATTTCTCTGCACCGACAAACTTTTTTGAATTGGCAAACATTTTTTTTAATCGATGAACATTTTTTTGAATAGGCGAATATTTTTTGTATTGGTGAAATTTTTTGTTTGACGAACATTTTTTGAAATGCATGAAAAATTGTTGAATTCATGTACAGTTTTTGAACCAGTGAATATTCTTTATCGTTGAACTTCTTTTGTAATTCATGATTGATTTTTTTTAACATTTTCAAAAAAATCATGAATATTTTTATACACTAAATTCTTTTCGAAATCATGAACATATTCTTAATCCACAAACATTTTATAATTTTCTGGAGCATTTTTTATGAATTGAATTTTTTTAAATTTTGAGCATTTATGGATTTCCTAATTATTTTCATTAAGAAAATATAAGAACAGGAAAAAACAAACAACATATACCTTGCCGGTTCACCAGCGTGCCACGCGCGGAATAAGTGCTTATAGAGGTAGGGTGTGCATGTGTTCGTATGAGTGAGTATACACGAGTATATATGAGCGCATGCTCGCTTAAATTCGATGCACACATGCACCACATGAGCGGCTGCATTCTCTTCCGATCTTTTCACCATCTATTATTCATTTATTTATTTCCTTAACAAACTACTTTACTAAATAAGTTAAAAAGTTCACCTCACATTAAAAATGTTCATGTAATGTACAAAATTTAGTAGAACGAATTTGAAAAATCTCAATTATGCATTTGAAAAATATTAAACATGATAGAAAAATATTTGTATATGAAAAATGTACAACG